GATTACAACGACGCCGCTGCTGCGCCATCCAGATTGTACCAAGCCGTTTGTCATCATCCCACGTGCAAACCCCTGGGCGGCTTGTGCCGTCCTGAGACAGGAACATGAGGGGATCATCCAACCAGTTCGCCTTACAGGGAAAGTTTTGGAAGAGTCTGAACTCCGATACCACATCGCAGAGTAGGAGGTGTTGGCGATCCTGCGAGTCGTGGAGCAGTTCCGTCCGCTCATCTACAGTTCAGATATACCGTTCGTAACCTATACTCGGTACTCGGTCCTGAAGTGGTTACTGAGGTCAAACTCCGCCGACGGCCGTCACCTAAAGTGGGGTCTAGAATTGTCGAAGTGGACTCTGGAACTACGCCGTGTGCAGCGCGATGAAGATGGTTGAAGACGGTACCCCGAGAACACTGAGCGAATTTGAACTTGCAATCGCGAATTTGTGGTGAAGATGGAAGGACATGTTGTTTAATACCTGCAATGTGCATTCGTTTCTCATGCTTGCCCCGCTGCGCTCCAGGATACAATATCAGCTGGCTTTGGTTGGTCCATGCGTTAATACACCCGTGAGCTCCGTTTCCAGAGATTGATCACGAGGTCGTTGCAAAATTGCACAAAGACCAGCTCATGGTGCAAAATTCTATAGGTGCTAAGCAATCCGCCGCTGATTGAAAGGCTCGGACATCTGTCGAATGACGGAATTGTTGGCTGGCTGAACAAGGAAAGATCCGAGGAAGTAGGGAAACAGACAGTTAGATGTGCAAGAGTGATGGTCAACTCCAACTTGTCCCGGGAGCGTATCTTTCTTCCGCAGTTGAGATGGCCCAACTTGGAAATTATACGAAAGGGATTCACCCACCAAGATCACCCCGTTAGGCTAGCAATGACAGGAACTTACTACATGCGCAATGCTCTCCTCAGCCTCATTCATCAATTAGCGCCGTCGCGAACAAGGGCCGACTAAAATTCATAGGCGACTACGGAGGCGGTGGAGGCTACGCCCATCGCGGCCAAGGCTACGACCAACGCGGGGAACTCGACCAGCAGAGGTCGGGGTATGACGACTATAGCCGCGGAGGTTACGGCGCGTCGAGCTCCGGGTCGAGGGGGTACGAGAGCAGAGGAGAGTGTGGCTCTGGTGGGGGAAGCTACAGCTATGGCCATGGTTACCGCGGAGGATCTGCTTCGTCGCATGGCTACGGGGGCTCGAGGTACAACAGTTGAGGAGGCTACGACCAAAGCCGCAGCGGATACGACGATCGAAACCGCGGGGGCAGCTCCAGCTATGGCAGTGGCTACTATAGGTCTTCGTCTTACGATCAAGGTCGTAGCGGCTACGACGCAGGCCATGGAGGCAACGGCATATATGGCAGTGGATATAATGGCATCGTCTCGCGGGGTGTTGCCGAGGAATCCTTCTACCGTCTGTTCCACTAGAGGAACGCTTATCTCGGGGAACGCCCGTGACATCACTGCGACGGCGGTGGACACGATGGGCGGCCGTCTGGGCTCGAAGCTCGATTAGCGGATTGCATTGCATCTCATCTTTCCTGGCTTGTTTGAAAGTGCGTTCTGGTGCCGCTTTCCACACTTGTAACGATAGAGTTGGCTTCTAGCAAAACACTTTTTTTAGTTTAAAGAATTTCAATCGTTTCGGGCGCCTTTCGCCGCCGCCGTTTACTCTTGCTGTTGAAGGAATCGGCCGGCGCGGTCCATGAGCGCTTGGTCCGCAATTGGCTGGAGGTCGTCGGCAGGGGTGTCCTGCAGGTTTTGGACCGTACTGATAAAGAAGCCTCGGATGCCATGAACGCGGAACGCGCGGCTGTAGACGCGGAACGCGAACACCCCGAAGCGGACGTACTTACCGAACGTGGCAGGCCTGTGAACGATGTCAACGACCTCGACGCCGTTTCCTGCCTTCCAAAAAAAATCCTCAGCAACGCACACATACTTACGGAAAAAAATCACAGACGTACGTTGATTTGCTCCAGTATCCAGTCGTTGATACGTTTGCGGATGCTGTCTTGCAGAGTGATGCCGTTAGCGTAGTACTCCGGAGACACCAGCTCGCCGCAACCTAGCGCTTGCAGTTTCTCGATCTCTCGCTTGACGTGATGGTTCTTCTGGCCTTCGACAATCTTGAACATCAGCGGAAATTCCCCGAGAGGAAGTCTATGTGTGTCGCGTACGTGTGGGGAGTCGGAGGCGTTGAGCAGCGCCACCACTGGTGTCTTGCCGCCGGCCTCGGGGTTCTCGATCGACCGTCCGTGGCTTCGAACCCACCGCTCGTACATGTCCATCATTTTTCTGGTTAGCTCAATGCTTTGCCTCGCAAAGTAGCTCGCTTCTTCCTTCGCCCGCTCCTCTCGGGCTAGTGCCTGCTCCTCTCGGGTTAGTGCCTGCTGAACATCTTGTCTTGCCTGTTCTCTTGTTCGCTCCTCGCGGGCCAGGGACTGTTCCTGCGCGGCGCGAGCGTCTTCTTTTGCCTGCTCCTCTCGAGCCACCGCCTGCCGGACTTCTTCCCTTGATTGTTCCTGCACAACTCGGGTGTCTTCCCTTGCTTGTTCCTCTCGAGCCACCGCTTGCCGGACTTCTTCCCTTGCTTGTTCCTCTCGAGCCACCGCTTGCCTGGCGTCTTCCCTCGATTGTTCCTGTGCGATACGAGCTTCTTCCCTGGTCTGTTGCTGAACAAGACGGGCATCTTGCCTTGCCTGCACTTCTCGAGCCATCGCCTGCTGGGCGTCTTCCCGTGCCTGCTGGGCATCTTGTCTTGCCTGTTCCTTCTCATTCCTCTCTTCGGTCACTCTGGTGGTGGTTGCCTCCAGCCGTTCTTCGAGCCTCGCCGCTCTTCTGATCTCTGCATCAAGGCGTTCCTCTGTGTGCGCGAGTTGTCTGCGCAGCTCGTCCATTGTTGTGTTTGAAAGTTCAGAAGTTAAAAAAACAATTTTTTGTGGTCCACATCGTGGCACTGAAAAAAACGGGCAAATGAAGCACCGGAATGCGCATCAGGTCGTTGCCGTCGACCGTGAAAGGAGTCGGCATTAACTTTTTGTGGACCATATTCGGTTGCAGCAGAGCGAGATCATCCATGTTTAAGGAGTTTTAAGCTTTTTTTATAGGACGACATTTTTTGCTATAATTCGTAGAAGGACGGCGTAAATGGGCGATTCCGCCTTTGACCGATTCGTTGCAGCCAGCATTCGTTTCGGGTCAGGACATTCGCAGCCCGCTCGCGACGTGGCCGAGGCGTCGTAATGATTCGTGTTCTCCACAACAAGATACGAAGGTACATTTTGGTTAGCTTGAGCAAAACCGACACACTCACCCAGCAGCTCAGATTAGGCGACATGGTGGTCGCAGCTATTGGCATCGGCACGACGCAAGTCTACGTGGGCAAGGTGAACATCGTCGCCAACGACCAGAGCTTCCGCACCACGCCCGCGTGCGTGTGCTGGAGTTGATCTTGGCGACACGGCCGTCAACAAGCTACTGCCGCACGCGGACAGCACGATTTTCGGCTACTGGGCAATAGCCACGTCGACATCAAGGACCGCGACTTCGTGGTGGAGTGGCTGTTCGATGTGACGGAGCACGAGAGCGTCGCACAGGCCGAAACGCAGCGCAACGGAGAGAAGCACCCGGTGACACCCGTGGACTTCATGGTGCTTCTGCTACAGAACCTGAAGGACCTGGACGAGGACTTTATGGACGAGAAGCTCGGGCACGTGGTCATCAAAAAGCCTGCGCACACGAGCGACAAGTGCACGGAACTACTGGACGCCGCGGCCAAGGATGCCGGCGTCAATGTGCTCACGTACCTGAGCGAGTGTCTCGCTGCTGCTATCACGTACATTCTGGACGAGGTGGTCAACAGCGACAAGCCCGAGTACGTGCTGGTGTTCAACATTGATGGCGCCCACACACGATGTGACGCCGGCAAGGGACTGTTGGATCCTCGAACAGTACTTCGAGGTGATGGCCGACAAGGGCAAGGATACGCTGGGTGGAGAGAACTTCACGACCGCAGTGTACGACCACTGCGCCAAATCGTTCCTCCGCAAGACCAAGCTGGACATCAAGACCAACCAGAAGAGAAAGCCATCCAGCAATTAAACATGTCGATGAAAAGCTCGTAAGATCGTCCGATCGATTCGGTCCCGAAAATGGTTCAATTCCCCACAAACGTATTTACAACCCTTGAGCAAGCACGAGTGAAGACATTGGGCACCAGCGCATTTGTGCACATAATGCTCACGTTGAACATCGAGCAAACAAGATAGTTGCAGAGCACTTAGTGCCACAAACATGAACTTGAACTGAACATAAGTGACACCACCCGAATGTTTGAGTACATATACCAGGAGATGAATGGCTGCAAGAAGCATTGCGCTCATGTATTGCCCAGTGGGGAGGTAGATCATGAAGGTGTTGGCCATTCTTGTCTCGCTCAATTGAGAGAAGATGATGAACAGACAACGGTTCACTACTGTGATGCTCGGTGTCCGTAGTGTAACTACTACTGCAACAAGCTATTCGGACACATGGATCTGCACGCTACCTCCCACGGCAACATGCGGCAAAAGTACTTTATGGCGAAGGACGAGGATATCGATGTTGGAGATCGTAAATATCAAGTGGGTGAACGAGGCATTGCTGAAATGTGCAATCTCTTTTGTGCCAAAATGGGTTGTGGTCACGTGCGCTATTATCCCTGTGAAAGCAGAGGTGAGGAGAAATGTGTTTATACCACATCAGATTCCAGCAAGGATAATCGTCGCCACTGTGTCGACGAGCTACTCCCACCACCCGACAAAGGTTTTGGACAACAATCGGATAGGAGGATCCGTGCTGTGAAGAGGAACGCGCAGTGTTTTCGAAGTGTCCATTTCGGTGCAACTCCCCAGAACATGAAGGAGACGACAAAGAGCCTTCATATTGCGTGCTGGATGCGTGGCACCAGCCAGAATTGAGACCTGAAGGAGCTGAAGACGGTTCTGCTTATGTGGACGGTCACAAATTCGAGTGCATACACAGGGAAAGTTTCTCTACATTTTCGTTATGGACAACTCGTGGTCAATGGGTGGACATTAGCTGCCATCCTCGGTGCAGGTATTACCCCCAGGGAGCATTTAGACGAAGTCGCTGAAAATCTGATCCCGGCTAAGGGGCGAATTAAAGCACCTCCGTCAATCAGTGTAGATATGCTGGATTCAGACTTCGAAGGGTATGTTTTGAGCTTCGATGGTGCAGCCAAGGTCTCCGCTAGACAGGGAAGTTGTGGATGTAATTTGTGGCGTTTACCTGGCTGGCAGGTCCTGAGCGCCCACGGATTCCATTTGGATGATGTGGTCGTTAACGATGCAGAGTATCACGGGTTTATCAAAGGTTTGGAGCTAGCCGTCAACCGTGGTTTCAGAGATGTGGTTGTGGTCGGCGATTCCAGAATCGTAATCCAACAAGCACAAGGGTTGATAGGTTGCCACCAGCCTAAGCTACAACGTCGACTTGCTGAGTATGAAGCCTTGAAAGTGAAATTTGGCTCCGTACGATTGGTCCACGTCAAACGTGATTACAACCAGACAGCAGACTACTAAGACATTGGCACTCGGGGAAGCGTGGGTGGTGGAAGATGCGGATGAACTGATGCATATGAAATTTATCTCCAGGATCCCGGAGAAGACTATGAAGACTCCGGAAACCTCGGAACAAAAAGACGACGCAACTCAGAGTCTGAAGCGCGATCGTCCAAATGACCTCGTTTCAGACCCTGTCCCAAACGCGTCTGAGGCAATAACACCCGTGAAGATGGTTACAACCCGAAATCCTTCCAGACAGGTTGCCCAAGTGGATGACCCGAGCCGACCACTTGACTATCGAGACGAACGTTGGAGACGGATTAAAGTCCATCAGGATGAGGATCCAGAGCTAAAAAGGCTCAAGGATTATCTGATAGGTGACCTGTTGAACTATACGCGGAAGGACGTCAAGATAATCGCGAAGGGTTCAGACCGATATGTTTTAGACTCAAGAGACGTTCTTTATCGTTTGGCTGCGCCTACCCCGGAACGTCCTGGGGACAAGCGTTCTGAACTTCGACTAATTGAACCAGAAGCCTTACGACCAGACATCCTACACCACGCTCACGAGGATTTCCAGAGTGGCCATCAAGGCATCACCAGGACATATGAGCGTCTGCGTTCAGAGTTTTTCTGGACCGGGATGTTCCAAGACGTTGAAACAGGTTTGTCAAGGAATGTACGGATTGCGCGTCCGCTAAGAGACGACCTCAGAATCCAGGACCCTCTCCCGGGGATATTGAACTGAGTGGCCCATTCGAAGTAGTGTCCATGGATTTTTTCACACACCTTCCGAAGTCGAAACGTGGGAATACCTTCTTACTTTTGTTTCAAGACATGTTCACGGGCTACGTTATGTGTAAACCCATGAGCAGCACTACCGCTCAAGACTGTGCTGAAACCTAAGATGAGGTTATGTTCAGGAACTATGGCGCAAGCTCTGAAATCCGTCATGACAGAGATCCCAGGTTCATGAGTCGGGTGTTCCGTCGTTTCAGTGAGATGATGGGTATCCAACAGAAAACAACGCTCGCGTATCGCCCTCAGGCCAATGGCCAGCAGGAACGGTCGGGTCAGACAATTATGCACAGTATCGGAGCGTATGTTGAAGATCTCGACCAAACCGACCGGGACGACCATGCAGAGATGCTCATGCATGCTATAAATACCTCCTTCGATGCGACTAGATTGGATACGCCGTTCTACCTGCTACACGGGTTTGATTGTCGGAGTACTATAGCAGCTATACTGGGCCCTAAACCGACGGACGTCGCAGAACGTACCGCGTACGAATGGCGTCGAAAATTGCAACGAGACTACAGCTATCCCCACGCCTGTGCGGAGGAGCTCCAGAAGAGAGCCAAGCGTACGCGATCCGCGATTCAGACTCAGAAGTGGAAGGTGCTATCGGATCACCTCAAGTCTTGATTCAAAGTAGGTGACTCGGTCTGGTTATATATCCCGAAGGTTCTACCAGGTCTGAGTCGTAAATTGGCTCATTTGTGGCACGGGCCATTCAGGATTGAACAAGTTCGGGACGATTTCAAGGTGAAATTGAAGGTTCAGGGTACAGGCTATCGTGTAGAACCATGGGTCCACATTAGTCGTCTGAAACCACGTGCCTTGTTTCCGAAACGGCCGTCTTTAAGGATTGACGTTTCAGAGGAGGAGGATTTGGATGCGGGTTTATTGCCGGAAGATAGTTGGGAACCGGATTCGGTGCATCAGGAGTATGAAGTGGAATAAATTGCGGATTTAAGATGGACCAAGCGCACCCGAAATGCGAAACGCATCCGCGAATATCTCATTAAGTGGAAGGGATACGACGAACTTCAGTGGCTGCCCATCTCACAATTGAATTGTGGCTCCCTTCTGTATAAGTTCAACCAGTCAGCACGTGCAAAATCTCGTTTCGCAGCCATGTGGTCTGGGAACGATGACTACGCGGAGCTATAGGCTCCGATCCTGAGAAGTTGAGTCTGGTTCCAACCATTACGTGCCTAGTTTCAGAGAAGTCGTGTGTTATTATAGTGACTGAGTGGTCGCGCGCGGATACCTGGCTAAGGCAATGTGGTCCTAGAACTCGGTATGAGTGATGCGTATGGAATGGAGATGTGTTGGGCAGTCTGTCCCGCGTTAGTGTGATTTTGACGAGAATGAAGCAAGGTGAGACATCAATATTTGATTATTGAATTAGATGGATACGCTATGATATGCATGGGCACTGAAGGCCGAGTCTGAAATACACTACGTGACCTCGAGTTAGACACTCAGTCGAAGTTGGAGCCTGCTGAGACAGCATCCTGAACGAGACGGAGCTGGTATAGCTCTTCGTAGTCCTTGGCTTCGAAGTGGAGGGAGGTCCTGGAATCGGCAGCAGGTTTCTGGCTTGCTCGACCTTCGGGAGCAGACGTTTGGAGACGAATGCGTCTGGCACATGTTCCAGACGCGCAGTCTCACTCGCAGCATCTGCCCAGAATGTACGCGCAGGTTCTCGCTCGTCCAGCTCTAGGAGCTCTGCGCGCAAGTCAGCCACCGCAGACACGGTTCTGAAGTTCACCGAGGGATCCTTGAAGATCCCGTAGCATATAGTGTTGAGAAGAATCCACAAACCAGGCTCGTACCAGAGTGTCTTGGGGAACTTGTCAATCTTCTCCAAACGTTGGACTAGGATGAGAAAGTTCCGGACCAGCGTCTCCCGACACTTGCGACGCTACAGGTGGAGTTTCTTCGCTGGGTCATCCATCATGGAAATCGTAAACCAGTGTAATATGTACCACCAACCTTCACTCCATGGGCTCCAAGTATTCTCTGATCCGAGGCAAGACCCCTTTGCTTAGATCACGAACGCGGTGGAAGTAGAATTCTTTCGAACGGTCCTCAAACATTTGGACCCAGGAGAGTACAAAGTCTAGAACCTTCTACTCCCACGCGGTTGGGTCTGAACCTGAATCGTATGCACCTGCCTCAGAAGAGTTGCGCTTTGACGTGGCTCCACGATGTACTTTAGTTCCAGACTTTGTCACTCGAACGACGCCCAAGAACTCATCCCATGCCTCTATAGACCAACGACCCTTGAGATACTTGGCCAAGTCTGTGAGGTGACGCGCCCCTTTGGCGCGACCGATGTTCGTCTTGCCTCTCTTGATGACCTTGGTATCTGGGGTTTTAGATGTCGCTCTGGATTTCTTGCTAGAGGTCGGTGAGGAGCGTCGCGTTCCAGAACTCGCTTGACTGGTGGTTTTAGGACCAGTAGCAGTAGCGTTTGTAGGTACCTCGTCTGCGCCAGCATCTAGATCTTCAGTCTCGTCCCGAGTTTCTAGAGCGTTGTCAGCCTCCTCTGTGCTCGGTTTCAGAGAAAAAGAAGGGTCCTGTGTCTCGTCGTCTGACGACTCAGAGAGGGCGCCGTTGATCATTTCGACCTCCGCAGCCACATCTCTAAGTTTCTGAAGTTTCCAATCACACTTGTCCAACGAAGGCCATTTCTCCAGCCCGTGACCAACCACGACTCGAATCCCGGTCCAGATTCTTCCGGCATCCAGATAGTTTAACGCAGGCACATATTCGCTCCAGGGTGTAAAAATCCAAGGTTTCCCAGTCGATCATCTGAGCCAGCATCAGCTGCACCATATATCCAGGTAGAAGGTGGTGAATAGGTTCGTCTCCACGCAACAATTTCAGGGCTTCTTCGTACGTGAGGCCTGTGATCATCAACATGCGGACGTCCTGCCGAAGGTCATCCCAGAGTAGACCATCCAGGATTCGTTTCTGTGCGTCGGCCTCCATCGCTGAGTCCAAGTCCGCGTCAGGACCGCAGGGGAGATCGTCTCGCGGGCAGTGTTCCTTGGGACGCACCTGCCTCTCCTCCGTGACATCGAACTCCAATTTGCGGGAGCTGCCACCGCGACCAGAATCAGGTTGCTGTGACGCCTTACTCTTGGTGTCAGAGGTTGATCGCGTTCTGGAAGGTTGTCACGTTGCGTTGGAGGGTCTCGACCCCCCCCCCCGCTACCCGTCAGGTCCAGCACTCTGACCGGTTTTGGAGTTGACGGTTTAAGTCCAGACCCACCACCTCCGTGAGGGTTCTTCGGACGCGGGTCAGGTTTCACGTAGTCTGGAGGCATGTAGTGTACGTTGTCCATGGCAGTCACGTTGATCTGAGTGTTCCAAGTACTGGGAGGCTTAGTGCCCTAGGCGTAATGCCGGAAAATGTCTCTCAGTTGCTCCCAGTTGGATATGACCGTGACTCCACTTTCATCCTGCATTAAGAAATCTAGCAGGTCGTCAGGATCCAACACGTTGTCGTCAGCACGACGCGCCGCGGCTTCCTGGGCGTCTTGTGCAGCCCGCAGTTCGGTTCGGAGTCGAGTGTTCTCGTCTTGTAGTGTCTGAGTTTTACGTTTGAGACCCTCCTCCACGTTGCAGAAGAAACGAGTCCGGGCCGCCTTCGTCGCAGAACTCCGACGCTCAACATCCTGGACATGGTGGTACCAGGACTGGCACATGGCTGTCCACTCACGTTCCAAAACGTGGTTTGTGTCTTGGAGCCAGAGGGCGTGGTCCGAGGTCTTGTTCGCGTCCTGACGCTGAACTTGCTCTTGGAGGTCCCAAATCTGGACGAGGAGGCGCCTCAAGAACGACATCGCGTTGTAGGTGCGCTCCGCAAGACGTTCCGAAGTCAAGTGGGCCAAAATCGAGGCGATCTCCCGCTGGACCAGAGAAGAGCGAGCCTTCCGTGTCTCGTTCCTGAACCGTCGGAGCATAGTGACGAAGTTGAAGCAAGAAATCCAACGAGTCTCGACCCAGCAGTCCTTCCAGGTCCGCGAGATCCTCCGAGCTCAAACTTTCAAACAAGAGAGGAGTCTCTAGGCGCCGCCGCATCCGTTGTACATCCTTGACCCGCGCTGCAGGGAGGTTTCTGTGGCCGGGACTCCAACGATATGACGCTCATCCGCCGAATCGAAGCTAGGAGGGTTACAGGGACAACAGGGGCTCCCATAGAGAGCGAGGCCATAGACGACGGAATGACAGCAGGCAAACAGATCCTGTCAGACTCCGCGATGGAGAGGAAGTGCGCCCCGCCAAGCACCACGCTCCGTGTCGGTTGTGACGATATCGAAGGGCTCCTAGAGCCATGCTGGCTGGTGTCCCCAGTCTTGTCGTCTGGAAGTGACTTCCCGACGTTCTCTTCCTCCGCGCCGTCCTCCTCGATCGCGGGCGAACCTTTCTCCGCGTCGTTGGAGTCGCCCGTGTTATTGTTGTCACCGTTGCCAGGTATATCAGAGCCTGCTGGTGCGTCTGGTGCGTTGCCGTCAGTGTTCGGAGGAGTGTTGCCACCGTCCTCAGCTGGTGCATCCGATCCCGGGCCACCCGAAGTGTCCGAGGTGTGTGCGCCGTCACCGGCATGCGGAGGCGCTAACGTTGTGATGGCCATCTTATTCAACAGTTGGAATCGCCGATTGTTTGATTCGGAAAGGTCAGAGTCCTGATGGGTGCTTCGCACTAAGTGCGATTGTTGATCACGGTTCCGGAGTTGGGTCAGGCCCAAAGCGACAGGACGCAGAAACGATGTGAGAAGAGGCGGGCATACCGATCCAGAGTGTCTAGTTTCAGACACTGGGGGTTCGCAGTTCACTCGGAACCCGTGATACCTCGTGGTCCTGGACATGGTTTGGCACCGTGGAAAATTCCACAATAACCAGTCATGGCCAGGAGGGGCGGTTGTGATGAGGCAGTTTCCCAGTTTTCAGGATAGACTGATTTTGTAGTGCGACTATGGAGATCCAGAGATCTTGATCGGCGGAGGTGAAGCAGATGGTATGACAATTGTGGAAAGAAAGTTGGATGTGAAGGGTGAGCGTGTGGAGAGCCAAGGATGGGCTCTTGAGTTCCGGAAGCACGCGTTT